GCCTGCCTCGGCCTCAGCGTCAGCCTCTCAGCCTCAGCCTGCCTCGGCTTGCATCAGCCTCAGCCTCAGCCTGCCTCGGCCTCAGCCTGCCTCGGCCTCAGCCTGCCTCAGCCTCCCCTCCTCCCCCCCCTCCTCCCCACCCCATTCAGCCTCACCGTGTCTCAGCTTCGGCCTGCCTCGGCCTCATCCTCAGCCTCAGCCTCAGTCTCAGCCTCAGCCTCAGCCTCAGCCTGCCTCGGCCTGAGCCTGCCTCGGCCTCAGCCTCAGCCTGCCTCAGCCTCAGCCTGCCTGAGCCTCAGCCTCAGCCTGTCTCAGCCTCAGCCTGCCTCAGCATCAGCCTCAGCCTCAGCCTCAGCCTGCCTCGGCTTGCCTCGGCCTCAGCCTCAGCCTGCCTCGGCCTCAGCCTCAGCTTCAGCCTGCCTCAGCCTCAGCCTCAGCCTGCGTCAGCCTCAGCCTGCATCAGCTTCAGCCTCAGCCTGCATCAGCCGCAGCTTGCCTCAGCCTCAGCCTCAGCCTCAGCCTCAGCCTCAGCCTCAGCCTCAGCCTCAGCCTCAGCCTCGCCTTGTCTCAGCTTCGGCCTGCCTCGGCCTCATCCTCTGCCTCAGCCTCAGTCTCAGCCTCAGCCTGCCTCAGCCTCAGCCGCCTCAGCCTCAGCCTCAGCCCTCAGCCTCAGCCTCATCAGCCTCAGCCTCAGCCTGCCTCAGCCACAGCCTCAGCCTCAGCCTCAGCCTCAGCTCAGCCTGCCTCAGCCTCAGCCTCAGCCTCGCCTCAGCCTCAGCCTCAGCCCTCAGCCTCAGCCTCAGCCTCAGCCTCAGCCTGCCTCAGCCTCAGCCCTCAGCCTCAGCCTCAGCCTCAGCCTGCCTCAGCTCAGCCTGCCTCAGCCTCAGCCTCAGCCTGCCTCAGCCTCAGCCTCAGCCTCAGCCTCAGCCTCAGCCTGCCTCAGCCTCAGCCTGCCTCAGCCTCAGCCTCAGCCTCAGCCTCAGCCTGCCTCAGCCTCAGCCTCAGCCTCAGCCTCAGCCTCAGCCTGCCTCAGCCTCAGCCTGCCTCTCAGCCTCAGGCGTCAGCCTCAGCCTGCCTCAGCCTCAGTCTCAGCCTGCCTCGGCCATCAGCCTCAGCCTCAGCCTGCCTCGGCCTCAGCCTGCCTCGGCCTCAGCCTGCTTCAGCTCGGGCATTCAAAATATGGAACAGGACTGGTGTTCTGGGAACACAAAGATCACGAAGTGGCCCACAGCTGGCTCCGGGCAATCAAAATATGGTACAGAAATTGTGATCTGGGAACACGAAGATCACGAAGTGGCCCACAGTTGGCTCCGGGCAATCAAAATGTGGCCTGGGAATGGTGTTCTGGGAACACGAAGATCACGAAGTGGCCCACAGCTGGCTCCGGGCAATCAAAATGTGGCCTGGGAATGGTGTTCTGGGAAGACGCAGAACACGAAGTGGCCTACAATTGGCTCCGGGCATTCAAAATGTTGCCTGGGAATGGTGTTCTGGGAACACGAAGAACACGAAGTGGCCTACAGTTGGCTCCGGGCATTCAAAATGTTGCCTGGGAATGGTGTTCTGGGAATGGATTCCGAAGGATTCCTAAGAATTCCTAAAGATTCCTAAAGATTCCTGGGGCACACCCTTTTGTCCGGTTTTGTCCGCATCCCGCCCAGACCCCCCTGGGGCGTCAAGATGCTCTCTTTTGACCCTGGAGGGCACCCAAAGGCCCTCTGGACGGTCCAAGAGGGCCACGAGCCGCCGAAAGATCGATCGAAAACGCCCACGCCGGCCTCCAGACGGCCCAAGAGGCCCCAAAGACGCCCCAAGAAGCCCTCAACAGGCGTCCCAAGACGAGCCTCAGAGCAAGAACCGCCCCACTTCCATTGGAAAACCTGCATGTTTAGCACATTCGCCTTTTCTGCAACGACAGCGTCCAAGACAGCCCGAGAAGCCTCCTGGGTCGCCCCAAGACTGGTCAAAAGGCTCCCAAGAAAGCTTTCAGACGGCCCGAGAGGGTCCCAAGACCGCTCAAAATTAGCCTGGCGAAGAACCCAACCATATGCAATGGAAAATACCGCTGATGTGGGTATCGTCTTCCGTGGAGCTCCCTCTAGGGCCACGAAACGATGTACTGGGCGGGTGGACCGAATGCGAACTGCGCCACTGGATCTGCCTGTCGGCCTCGGCCTCAGCCTGCCTCGGCCTCAGCCTGCCTCAGCTCGGGGATTCAAAATATGGAACAGGACTGGTGTCTGGGAACACGAAGATCACGAAGTGGCCCACAGCTGGCTCCGGGCAATCAAAATATGGTACAGGAATTGTGATCTGGGAACACGAAGAACACGAAGTGGCCTACAGCTGGCTCCGGGCAATCAAAATGTGGCCTGGGAATGGTGTTCTGGGAACACGAAGAACACGAAGTGGCCTACAGTTGGCTCCGGGCATTCAAAATGTGGCCTGGGAATGGTGTTCTGGGAATGGATTCCGAAGGATTCCTAAGAATTCCTAAGGATTCCTAAAGATTCCTGGGGCACACCCTTTTGTCCGGTTTTGTCCGGATCCCGCCCAGACCCCACTGGGGCGTCAAGATGCTCTCTTTTGACCCTGGAGGGCACCCAAAGGCCCTCTGGACGGTCCAAGAGGGCCACGAGCCGCCGAAAGATCGATCGAAAACGCCCACGCCGGCCTCCAGACGGCCCAAGAGGCCCCAAAGACGCTCCAAGAAGCCCTCAACAGGCGTCCCAAGACGGCCTCAGAGCAAGAACCGCCCCAGTTCCATTGGGAAACCTGCATGTTTAGCACATTCGCCTTTTCTGCAGCGACAGCGTCCAAGACAGCCCGAGAAGCCTCCTGGGTCGCCCCAAGACGGCTCAAAAGGCTCCCAAGAAAGCTTTCAGACGGCCCAAGAGGGTCCCAAGACCGCTAAAAATTAGCCTGGCGAAGAACCCAACCATATGCAATGGAAAATACCGCAAATGCGGGTAGCGTCTTCCGTGGAGCTCCCTCTAGGGCCACGAAACGCTGTACTGGGCGGGTGGACCGAATGCGAACTGCGCCACTGGAACCTTCGGTGGAGCGCCCTACGGGGCCACGAAACGATGCGAAACGATGCACTGGGCGTGGGATCCGCATGCGGACTGCGCCACTGGGACCTTCGGTGGAGCTCCCTCTGGGGCCACGAAGCGCTGCCCTGGGCGTGGGGAAGCCGCCTGCGGGCTGCGCCACTGGAACCTTCGGTGGAGCGCCCTCTGGGGCCACGAAGCGCTGCACTGGGTGGGGAAGCCGCCTGCGGGCTGCGCCACTGAACCTTCGGTGGAGCTCCTTCTGGGGCCACGAAGCGCTGCCCTAGGTGGGGAAGCCGCCTGCCGACTGCGCCACCGGGACCCTCCAAGGGGGACTGCGCCTGCGCACTGCGCACTGCGCGGGCGGACTGCGCCACTGGACACGATGCCCCGCGAAGCCCCCCGGTACGCTCCCAGGGCGCCTCCGAGTGGCCCGAGAAAGATTCGATCGGGCCTTCGGGAGGGCCCCCTCAGCGGCTCAGAGCTGCTTCCAAAACGCCCCCAGCATGCCTCCCACGAGACCCAGTCTGCCATCCGCGCGGCCTCGGCCCCGCAGCCCAGGCACGGTGGCGGGATGTGCCGAAGGCCATTCGACCCGCCCAAGACGGCCCAAGAATCAACCAGTGGTGCGTCGGAGGCATGAGTTCTTGCCTTCCTACACGCGCTTCAAAGAGAGGTTCCGTTCCCGATCTAATCGACATCGCCTGAAGGCTAGTCCACGGGCTACTCCACTCTCGTCCCATCAGATCCGCCCCACCTCGCGTCCCCTTCAACCACCGCCCCGACAAATTTCTCCTGGGCACCATCCCGACCAAGCTTTCAAAACGAGCCTGGCTCCTGTGACGAAGGCCCTCTCGCGGCCTGCACGAAACCAAAAACTACACCCGCAAAGAACCTCACACCAGACATCTGCGTCGGTGGCTTAGGGGAGCCTGTCTTCAAAACCCCTTCTGCCCTTCGGAAGTGATTTACCCCCGCAGCGTATTCATAGACACACCCACCCACCCACTCGACCGACGGCCGACCCGAGTCAAAGATCCCCGTCATCACGATACGATCAAGACAAAATGCATTTTGCGACATGACCTGGATCATATTTGGGATTCCCGCCCTCGCTGTGCATTGGTCTGTCACACGACGGCAGGGGGCATCAGATTACACCGTGTGTGCAGGCCCACCATCCCTCTCACAAGAAGACACTGGAATGTGAGCGTGGCGGCACAACCCCCCCGACCCCTTGGACTACCCTCAGCGTGTGAGATGCTTACCACTCCCCCGACCCCGCCCCCCATACCCTGGTCTGTTCGATTTGGAGGGAGGGGGGTCCGCCCGGATCCCACGGGCCCGGCCCCAACGCATCATGGGAGGACAGAGGCCCCCACAACGAGCCCAGGCGGCCCCAAGAGGCCCCCAAAACAGTCCAAGAGGGCCCCCAAACGCCAAACGCTCCTCTAGGACGGCCAAGTAGCCTCCAGACGGCCCAAGACGCCCCCCAAACGCCCCCAGAAACCTCCAAAAGCCCTCCCGACAGGGCCCCACGACGCAACAGTCATTGATTTTCAATCCGTTTTTGAAAGAGTTCAGCGTTCTCGCCTTTTCGGTTTCCCGACGCTTCACGACGGACCAGGAAGCTCCCGAAATCTCCCCAGACGGCCCAAGAGGCTTCCCAGAAGGCCCCGAAACAATCAGAAAGGGCCCCCCCACACAGCCCCACAGACGGCCCCCAAGAAGCTCCGAGAGGCCCCCCCTGGGCCCCCGTGCAGCGCCCAAAAGGGCACCAAGGAGCCCCTGCGGCGCAAGCCCAAGAATCATACTGCCGCTCACAACAACTCGCACCTTGGGATCCGCAGAACTCTTCACATGCAGTCGTGTCGGTGAACGTGGTTCGAGCGATTTCTGTAGTGCCGCAGCTGTTGTACTGTTCCAGAGTAGCGCATGTTGTCGTCAAGCCAGCGGAATCGATGCTCCAGACCAACGTGAAGCTTCCAGCGCCGCTCCAATATGCATCGATGATGAAGTATGCTCGCTGCACTGCTCCTTGGTTGTTATTCCAAACGTGCTGCATGGTATCGGGATCGTCCGTGCACATCACAAGGTTGGCACCTGGGCATGCACCACCCCAACGTGTCTCATGGCGACTGTCGTAAGCGTTGCTGGACATGCCGATTGTCAATGTGAAGCCGGATGGAACATCGATGTAGAAGATCTGTTCATTCCCATGGCCACCACACGATGTGGCATGCGTGTTCATGCCTGTCACTGTCGTACCAACGTAAGGGCTGGACACTGTGGACAGATCTATGGCTGCGCTGCAAGAGTCCTGTGGCTTGTGGCAGGTAGCGTAAGGATGGATATGGTAGATCTCTGAGCACGTTGAATGGAATGTCCACCAATCAGATCCGTGGCCATAAACTGCTGTGCATGTTGGGTCATCATTGCAACACGTCTTCGCCGATTCCTCGGTGTAGCACGTCGAGGCACACTTCGCACACCTAAAGGAACGGCAATAGCCAGCGCCGTCGTCCCCGCAGTTTTGCGGGTCGTTGCAATGTGTATGGCTCGATGAGCACACGTAAGGGGTCGGAGCGGCGGTCGGATTAGGCGTAGGGGATCGCCCCCACGGATCCCGTCGAATTCCCCATCCTGTCAGCTGCGAGGCGTTGCTCCCGTTCATCGCTGCCGCAAGCTGTATCATGCTGGAATCGGCGGGGACCGCACCCAGGCCAGCGGCCCCGCGTGCCCCAACAAAGCTGGCAATCATCAGTAAGAAACGGGCCATCTGCGGGACAGGTGAACCGATCACAAGGTGTAGGATGCACGAGGAGCGCGCGGGTATGCTTCAAACTGCGAAGGCCCAGCTGGAACCGAACAGTCTTGAGCCAGAATGGATGCGGGAAGGCCATTGGATATATAATTGGGGGCCCCCCACGCATCGAGCCCAACATGTATGCATTTGCGTGGCCAAACATCTGCGTCGTTTGCCTTCCAGAAACAAACTGGTCCCAAATACAAGCTCGGTCCTTCGACCATATTCCCCCATACCCCACCCCACGGCGCCACCCCCGCCCGCCCGAGCGCGGTGACGGAATCGCCCAGCAGCGCAACTGGATCCGCCGACCCCTGCTTGCCAGGGGTGAAAAGGCGTGCGACATGATTGGTTGTCCCCCTGAGTGTGGTTCTGATGTTGATTGAGGTGGACATTGTTCGAATGACGATAACCTGATTGAACTATGACTATAACCAGAACTGGTCTGGGTGAAGGCAATATGGTGCTTCACCCGATCAGTATGATATGAATGTCGAGCTATGAATATGACTATAACTGGTCGTGGTGTACGTCTGGGTTGGGTCGGAGAAAGATTGATGACCGACCACAACTGCGAATGTGACCAATCTGGTTCCTGGTCCAGGTAAGTTACACTATTCGAACAGATTCGGAAAAACGTGACTAAACCCGAACCGTGACCAGGACCAGTCCTGGTCACAATTGTGGTTCGGTCTGCACTAATATTATTATTATGTTATTGATGCCACTCGACCCAAACCAGAACCGTGACCAAGACCAGTCCTGGTCACAATTGTGGGTCAGACTGCATCAAAATTATTAAAACGATTGCAATGACAATCGGACCAAACCAGAACCGTGACCAGCACCAGTCCTGGTCAGAATTGTGATTCGGGTTGGATTGGTACTACTATAATACCTATACGACCACCGTTCGGGAAGGAGGGTGGGGGCGGAAGGGGGGGAACCAATACTTGACTCAATCGATATCACTATCGATCTCACTCAACGGGACACCACGGGACATCACGGGACACCACATGACACTACGGGACACTTGTCGATCTCATTATCGATCCCACTATCGATCTCACTCAACGGGACACCAAGGAACACCACGGGCCAGCACGGGACACCACGGGACACCGCGGGACACGTCTCGATCTCACTATCGTTCTCACCATCGATTTCACTATCGACCTCACTCAACGGGACACCATAGGACACCACGGGACACCACGGAACACCTCGGGACACCACATCGATCTCAATATCGACCTCACTATCGATATCATTATCGATATCACTCAACGGAACCCCACGGGACACCTGTCGATCTCACCATCAATCTCACTATCGAATTCACTTTTGGCGACACCACGGGACACCACGGAACACCTCGGGGCACCACGTCGATCTCAGCATCGACCTCACTATCGATCTCACTATCGATCTCCCTCAACTGGAAACCACGGGACACCACGGGACACCACGGGGCACCTGTTGATATCACTATCGATCACACTATCGATCCCATTTTTGGGGACACCACGGGACACCTCGGGGCACCACGTCGATCTCAGCATCGACCTCACTATCGATCTCACTATCGATCGCAGTATGGGTCTCACTATCGATTTCACTCAACCGGACACCACGGGACACCACGTGGCACCACGGGACACCGCGGGACACCGCAAGCCACCGCCAGACGGACGGACGGACGGGCGGGCGGGGGAGAATCATTTTTCTTGACTGCGCCCTAGCAACGGCGGACACCACGGACGGACCTCAACGGCGGCTCGGATACCACCCGGTCCGATAGCTCGCCCAACTCATGTGTCGAAACTTCTGACCACAGAGGCGCTCATGAAGCAGCGCTGATCCAAACAATGCTTTCACCTAAAGAGCCCGACACGACATCCCTTTTAACATCACTAGCCCTACAAAATTACCCCAGTGCGACCCTACCTAGAAGTTGGAGCCTCTAGGAAAGCAGCATTAGTTGCTGTGCTATGCTATGCTATGCTATGCTATGCTATGCTATGCCATGCTATGCTATGCTATGCTATGCTATGCTATGCTATGCTGCGCTATGCTATGCTATGCTATGCTATGCTATGCTATTATATGATATGCTAAGCTATGCTAAGTCATGCTGCGCTGTGCTATGCTAAGCTATGCTAAGCTATGCTATGCTATGCTATGCTATGATATGCTATGCTATGCTATGCTATGATATGATATGCTATGCTATGCTATGCTATGCTATGCTGCGCTATGCTATGCTATGCTATGCTATGCTATGCTATTATATGATATGCTAAGCTATGCTAAGTCATGCTGCGCTGTGCTATGCTAAGCTATGATATGCTATGCTATGCCGCGCTGTGCTATGCTATGCTGGGGTATGCTATGATATGATGTGCTGCGCTATGCTATGCTACGCTATGCTATGCTGTGCTGTGCTCTGCTATGCTAAAGCTCAGCGAAGCTAAGATGAAGGTAAGCTAAGCTAAGATAAACCTGAGCTAAGATGAAGCTTAGCTGAGCTAAGATGAAATAAGCTAAGCTAAGATGAGATAAGCAACGCTAAGCTAAAGGGACGTAACTGGGGGAACCGCGGGGCGGATGCGGGGGGAACCGCCCGGGGCGATTTCCACTGCCCGGCCCCTTTAAGCAAAGAGAGTAAGAACCCTTCTAGGCAGAGCCTAGGTAGGCAAAAAAAAAGTATGGCTTGTAGCCTCCACAAAAACATTCAATGATATGACCGTCCCTGGTATTAGGCGACCCCGAAGAAAGTCCAAAGAGGGCTCCCCCAGATAGCGGTGAGTGAGACCAGATCGAAATCCTCACTACGGTCATTCTCGTCAGGGGTTTTCCGAAGGCTTTCCAAACGATCTCGGGGAACACATATTCCGACAGCTAGCCCAAGCTCGAATCGCGCCTCTCGGACACACAGGCTCTTCCAAAAAGGCAGGGGACGGCGGTGACTCGCCGTAGGCGTCTTCGATACGGTTTTTGCTGTCTGCGATGATCTCAGGAGTGGTGCGACAGCTGACCCCGCAGTCCCCGTAGGGATGGCCTACCCAACCGACAGAACCGCCGGACGCAGTGGCCGCTGCGGAGCAGCGAGGTGATCAAGCGCCCTCACGTGAGGCCTGCTACTGCAACTGAAGCCACAGCTGGGCCCCCGTCGCTGCGCGGTCCTGCCGCAAGGGCCAAAAGTTGCGCACAGGCGTCCGGTGTGACAACTGGCCCCGCAGTCCCCGTAGGGATGGCCTACCCCACCGGCGGAGCCGCCGGACGCAGTGGCCGCTGCGGAGCGGCTGCCGAAGCGATCGGAACATGGTCAGGAGAGGTGCAAGGAAGAGACGCACTCCAGCATTCATCTGAGAAGTGGTGCGACAGAGGGCCCCGCAGTCCCCGTAGGGATGGCCTACCCCACCGGCGGAGCCGCCGGACGCAGTGGCCGCTGCGGAGCAGCCGCCGAAGCTTGAGTCGAATGTCGTCAGCTGAAGCTTGCCTCTGCAACCGAGAAGACGAACGCACTTCGACCCGTCTGGTGAGAGATCTGAATCAGGGAAGAGTGGTGAACGCATGCCTCCGAAGGCATCGCTGCCTCCGTGTGGTCATCTTGTCCTAGTAACCCTCCGACTGCAAACCCAGAATGCCCGAGATGCTTGACGTAAAGATTCAAATACTGGACCCCGTCCTGAGTGCGCCCATAAGCAACTTTTACATTCACCTTCCCAAACTTAAACCACTTCGGCTGTTCGTCGTGCACACCCTGAGCTTGGAAATGAAGACCGCCCGTCCCTTGCACCTCCACCCACTTCCCAGTGATATTCAGCTGTTGAAAATACATGTCTGCGCATTGTCCACCCGACTGGCGCGCATCGGCCTCCACACGAAGCAATGCATTTTTGTGCCTTCCACGAGGGATGTTTATCAGAACATGCTTGCCCGGCTTCATCAAATCGAACCGCTGACCAAGAGCGTTTTGCAAGTGGGGATCGCCAGTGGCAGCCACACCGCCAGCTCCGCCAACCGTGGAACCAGTTCCTGCAGGAAACGTCGGATGTGGCGTTGGCCAACCCGGAGGATACGTCGGGCTGGGCGTCGGACTGGGCGTCGGGAAAGGCGTCGGGAAGGGCGTCGGGAAGGGCGTCGGGAAGGGCGTCGGGAAGGGCGTGGGGAAAGCCGTCGGGAAGGGCGTCGGGAAGGCCGTCGGGAAGGGCGTCGGGAAGGCCGTAGGGAAAGCCGTCGGGAAAGGCGTCGGGAAAGGCGTCGGGAAGGGCGTCGGGAAGGATGTCGGGAATGGCGTCGGGAAGGGTGTCGGGAAAGGCGTCGGGAAGGACGTCGGGAAGGGCGTCGGGAAGGCCGTCGGGAAGGGCGTCGGGTAAGCCGTCGGGGAGGGCGTCGGGAATGGCGTCGGGAAGGGCGTCGGGAAGGGCGACGGTGAGGGCGTCGGGAAGGGCGTCGGGAAGGGCGTCGGGAA